TAAAAAGAGAAAAAGTTACTAAATTTCTCGGAGTATATATTGATGAAAATCTATCTTGGAGAAATCATATTGATAATACCTCCAATAAATTTGCTAAATGCATCGGAATTCTCTATAAAGCAAAAATTATATTTAATAAAAACCAGTTAACACAATTATATTATTCATCTATACATTGTCATATAAACTACACGAATATTATATGGGGAAGCACTCACAGAACAAAACAAATATTATATGGGGAAGCACTCACAGAACAAAACAAATATTATATGGGGAAGCACTCACAGAACAAAACAAATATTATATGGGGAAGCACTCACAGAACAAAACAAATATTATATGGGGAAGCACTCACAGAACAAAACAAATATTATATGGGGAAGCATTCACAGAACAAAACAAATATTATATGGGGAAGCACTCACAGAACAAAGCTGAAATCTCTTTACTTTCATCAGAAACACGCAACTCTTTTAATAAATTTTAAAAACCGGTTTTTTCATACATAACAAATTTTTAAAGAAATTAATATTTTAAATGTATATCGACTAAATGTCTTTAATATTTTATGTTTCATGTTTAAATGTAGAGAACATGTGTCGCCAAATGTATTACAAAATCTATATTGTATAAAACCTAAAAACAAATATAATCTTCAAATTAATAACAATCTTATTTTATTAATTCGCCCCTTTTTGTCGTAAAAGCAAAGACCAGTTTTTTGTTTCTTATCGAGGTCCTTATCTCTGGAACAAATTTTAATTTATTTTTAATTGCTTTTGTTGTTGTTGTTGTTATTGTTGTTTTATTTTGTATATTATTTCGTTTAACATTTTATCTTAGCTTTTTAACATTTTATCTTGGTTTTAAAATATTTTTGCATAAAGGTGTATTATTATTTCACTACAGATATAGTGTTTTTATTAAAAATTAATTATATATTGTAAAGGGCTTCATGACAAGATCCTCATGATCTTGTAGAAGTCATGTCGTTACTAATTTAAAAATTGTAAAATATATTTAGTTATTGTAATATTAAACCGCAAAATATTAAAAATAATAATAATAATAATTTAAGAAATCATAATTTTTAAGTTTGGAGAATATTATGATCCACCGTATCAAAAGCCTTACTTAGATCAATAAAGACGCCTAATGTAAATTTGTTTTCATCAAAACCTTTGAGTATTTTGTGTATTAGATAAATGATTGCATGATCGGTTGAATGGCCAGATTTAAACCCAAATTGTTTATCGTAAAGAATGTTATTAATAGTCAAAAAAGAAGTCTGTTATACATAACACGTTCCAAAATCTTGGAAAAGCAGGAAAGAGTTGAGATTGGTCTGTAGTTTGGGACATCATCAGGATCACCTAATTTATAGATTTGAAGGATCATCTGATTTATAAATAAGAAAACGGATTTACGAGTTCTATTTGAATAATAAAATGCAAGGTAAAAAGTTCACAGTAAATCACTTCAATGCTGAACAAACTCCAAGAAGCACTATCTATGATATAATCAAAAGTGCTGAGAATAATTTTGGACACAAAAGAATGCAAGGAAGTAGTCGTGTGGCCAAAATCATGACCCCGAAAGTGATCAAGCGTCTGAGAACCATATTTGGCCACAGTGACCAAGTTTCGAAAAGGCAAGCGGGTCGAAAATTTGGATTCAGTCATTCACATAATGTTAAAACTCTTGCCATCAAAACTTATACAAAACAGGGTATACCTGATTGACAAGAGAGCCAGATTGAGCGAATCAAGACCGGCATTGATTGTCTTTATCGCGAATTTTAAGAAAAATCGGTTTTCCTTGACGACGAATCTTACTTCACACTGTCATACTCAACAACAAACGGAAACAGCGCCTGCTACTCTAGCGGCATAGACAAGACACCAACAAGCGTTAAATTTTGCAAAAAACGCAAGTTTGAATCCAAGCTACTTGTCTGGCTGGCCATTTCTGACAAAGGTATTTCCAAGCCATTTTTCGTACCCAGCGGTCTTGCAAGTCAATAAAGTTATCTACGAAATGGATTGTATTATGAGAAAATTAGTGCCGATTATCAATACTCATCATGTCGATGGTAATTATGTATTTTATACTCACAAAATCAATTTTGTAAAATAAAGGTTGACAATCCGCTAGCCGTACCAGAATGTCGCCTAATCGAAGACTTTTGGGCTGTTTTGAAAGGTAAAGTGTATAAGGGTAACTAGCAAGCAAAAATTGTGAAGCAACTACAAATCAGAATAAAGCTTTATCTGAAAAAATTGACCTTAACCTTGTATTTTCACTTTTTGGATCAACTCGTCTTCGAGTAAGACGAATCCAAAGAAACAGACTGGTTGAGGACAAACTTAACTAAATTAAATAAATAGCTAAAAACTCTATTTAATGGTATTTTTTTAAATCTCTACCTTAAAAACTATGGAAGTAATGACCCTTGAAAGTATGTCCGGATTTTTAGTGACCGCCCGTTACTCAGACTCACATCCAAAATGGCTTCACTTGTCTCCATGGTAACTGGATCATGTCCGTAGCAACAAATTTTAAGAAACTGACATTTATGCATCAACCGAAAGCTCATCAAAAATACAGCAAAAATATTAAAACACATTATGTTGAATAAATTAATTTAAAAAATATTTTTTTTAAAAAATACTAAAATATTCACTTTTAGTTTTTAATAAATATTAAAAACACAATGTTATATTTCTAAAGTTACCCCATGACATTTTACATAAACTTTAAAAACCCGTCATTTAAAACGTTTTGCAAATTATGAATTCAACGCTTACAATCACCACAACATTTGAAAAGTGCGTTATATGAAACAATTTTGTAAATTGTCGGTATACAAGGGAAACGCACCAAGTCCAAAAACATCATTTTGAGATAATGAACAAATAAGTCAAAAATGTGGATAAACAGCCCTAGTTGCCCTAGCCGACAAGTTAGTCGGCTAGAGCTACTAGGGCTACTGCTTGTATAATCAATATGATAATTCCAAGTAATGTTTTCATAAAGATAATCTAATTCTTTTAACAAAATCTCTTTTTATTTCCTTTTGATCGATAAAGATTTGATGGCAGAAAACGCTTTTTTTTAATTGAATGGAATAAAACCCATTTTGATTTATTACACTTGAACCATTTAGATACATGTCTGAGTTCTTTGATCACTATTTTAAAAAGTTCAGCAGTATCATAGTTAAAAAGGAATAACTTTGTATCATCTGCATACATAATGCTCTTTAGTTTTGAGGATTTATTCAAGTCATTTATATAAATTAAAGAAAGGAGAGGTCCAAGAATTGAACCTTGTAATTGACTCCACAGGTTACATTAAGAAAAGTGGTTTAATAATTATTGTTAAATGGTACAGATTGTTTTCGGTTAGATAAATAACCTTTAAACCATTTTTAACATTTTATTACTTTTATTTTTCAGTTTTGAGTTTATGAATTAAAATATGGGTAGCAACCGTATCAAAAGCTTTTGATAAGTCAATAAAATTTCCTTGTGATTATTGTAATTTTTGAAATGATTTTGAAAAATTACAATATACACTATTTTTTCACGTACAAGTTGGATAATTGCTTGTTCAGTTGTGTTATCTATGAAACCAAATTGATTGATGTAAAATAGATTATTACAATGAAAATATTTGTATACTCTGTTGAACATAATTTTCAAGAATTTTTAAAAATATGGAAAGAACAAAGATGATACAGAGATAGTTACTAATTTCAGATTTGCATCCTTCTTTAAAAATAGGAATAATTTTTGAAATTTTTGAAAGAACATCTTTTAATTGTTCAAAGCAATCTATAACTACGTTTCCATTAATTTGATCTGATCTAATTGCTTTATTTTTTTAAACAGATTTGATGTCTCTTTCAAACTCATCGAGCATTATTTCGGAAGACAGCTCATCTGAACAAATGCAATTATCCAAGGGTATTAGACAATTAGTAAACAAAGATTAAGTCTTTGGGATTTTTTCGGACAGTGTTGGTGTTTACTAGGTTTGAATTTCAATATTTTAAAACATTTTTCTTTTAATAGGTGAAGCTATGCTGATAAAGCAGTTTTTCAAAATTATGCTTCTGATACATGAACTATTTTAATTTGTTCGCCGATATTGATATTAAAAAAAAAATCTTCCTTTTTTTAAAACTGAAGTTCAGCGAAGAGAAACACCGACGTCGAGTTCAGTGAATAAGGCAGTCATAATGGATTCTTTAACTCTTTTTAGTGTAGTTGCACTCAAATATGCCCAACGACATCAGGTTTAATAGCCTACGCGTTACTTTATGTGACACAGTATTTAAAGGCTTTATTTGGAAAGCCTCAGCTGGCACAGATATCCAAAGTATAAATTTTTTCTTTAAAGTTAAATCTTAAATTCTAGCCAAAGTCTCCCTATTTAGTTACAAAGCTCCCTAATTAATGTCTTGGTTCTTAAATATTTTTTTACACTCCTTAAAGGTAGTATTAATACATTATGTGATATAAAAAGTTAAACGGTAATAAGTTTACATGCGTAAAATGAGGCAAATAAAAAAATAGGGAGACAAATAAAAATTGAAAACCAACAAAAAAAGAATTTGAAAATAAACAATTAGTTTATTTGCAAATTCTTTTTTTGTTGAAATTTGAAAATAAACAATCAAATGTGAAAAAAGGTTTTCTTTTGGTCACATTTTTAGAAAATATGACCAAAGAAAAACTAATTCGGACATATTCATTGCTTTTTTAACTTTCAGATTCTTAATATTGCTCAATAAAGTAAAAAGCTTCTATTTTGCCTGCAGAAGCTATTACTCTGTGGAAAAGCCAAGCGTTATTCTGCAGAATAACGCTTGGCTTTTCCACATAATTTTACGATAATTCATATTAAACCTTATAAACATAATTTTACGATAATTCATATTAAACCTTATAAACGCACAGGTCAGATCTGACCTGTGCGTTTTATTTCATTTTTTTTTCAGATTCGGAAGAAATATCCGATAAGAAAAATACCGGTACCGAAATAGTTTTGTCATTCACAACTTTGTCTAACTTATAAATATTTTCTTTTTTACTTGACAAAATCAAAACAAAGATAATCTCAAACGTATTTTGAAAAAGACTTTTTGAGAATTTTAAAGTATAAAAATATCTGAGTTAATTAAAGTAACTTGTGTATTAGGTAAACTTATTTCATTTTTATTATAGTATTGTGATAGTATCATTTTTTTTAGTTAATTTACTATATATAAATATCTTTAAATGTAAAACTTCTATTCAGAAATATATTATTATTGGATTATTTAATCCTTACTAGTATCACTGATACTAGTAAGGATTCAGGGTAAGTTGGGCAAAATGCCAATATCAACCAGTAATCAATCAATAATATATTTCTGAATAGAAGTTTTACATTTAAAGATATTTACATATAGTAAATTAACTAATAAAAATATATCTAGTAATATCAAGTGTTTATTACTTACATTACTACTAGTTATGTAAATAGTAGTAGTAATGTTAATAATAACTTTTAATAATAATGCTAATGTTCACAAAAGAATAACAATAACAGTAATTAAGCTAAGAGTATATAATATATATAAAACAATAATAATTATAGCAATAGTAATATATAATAGCAAAAGTGGTAAAAATAAAAATAAAAAATGGATTGATAATATTAATAACCAAAATACCAAATGTTTTAGATTAGTATCCGAAAACAAGTTTCAAGGCAATAACAGTTTTTTGTAAAAAAAATTGAAATGTTATGTACAAGATATATTTGTGGCATAATTTTTTTTTTTTAACATCTTCACTTCCAACAAGGTTGCAAGCAACCACTAATTAGTGTTGGAAGTTACTGGAAGAGAAAAGATAAAGATTTTAGAGCAACAATTGACAGACGACTTAAAAGATTGCAAATTATATGAATCAGGAAAGCAAGATAAAGGAAACCAATTCCAAAGAACTGATGTTCGAGGAAAAGAACTAGACGCATAAGAGTTTTTGGAGCACTTAGGAACAGTAACAGAAAAAGGATGAGACTTAATTGAATGATGAGTAACACGAGAATGAATTTTAGTAGATGGCACAAGAGACGCTAGCTCTTTAGAGCAGTGCCCATTATAGTATTTGTAGAAAAGAGAAAGAGAAGCGACATTACAACGATGTGACAGAGGTTGAAGGTTGGCTGCAAGAGTAGGTCCAACTATGTTTACAATGCGTTTTTGCACCTTGTCTAAAAGAGAAAGGGGATCATTAGAAGATCCACCCCAGATATAGCAACAGTATTCCATACAAGGCCGGATTTGAGATTTATAGAGATTGAGAATAGAATCCAGAATAAGAGAGTGATAAGCTCGATAAAGAGAAGTGACTTTAGCAAATACTAATTTTGCAACGGATTTGATATAAGGTTTCCAAGAAAGATCAGAAGTAAGAGTTAATCCTAGAAGATGAAGGGTAGGAGACTCATCAAGTACATTACCATTCATAAATATAGGAAGGTCTAAATTATTGCGATAAGGATTGGCTGAAAAAAATTGAGTTTTATCTGAATTAAAGTTCACCAGCCACTGCGAGCCCCATGCTATAGCAGAAGTGAGATCCTTTTCAAGCTCAGATGCCCCCTGCAAGCAATCAGAGGGAGTTTTGTTATCATCTTCAGAGTCAACCAGAGGGAGGCTTTATATCGTGACAAGAATAAATGGTAGTATCATCAGCGAACAATGCCACCTTAGATGTGAGAAAATCTGGAAGATCGTTAATGTAAATTAAAAAGAGTATAGGGCCAAGGATTGAACCTTGAGGAACCCCTAAGGTTACAGAATAAGAAGAAGAGTGCTGTCCATCGAGGACAACTTTTATACTACGATTGGAAAGGAAGGATTCGATAATCTTAAAGATGTTTCCAGATACACCGTAAGAAGAAAGCTTATGGAGAAGACCAGCATGCCAAACTTTATCAAACGCCTTAAAAATGTCAAGAGCGATGGCCTTAACCTCTCCACATTTATCTAATGCGCGATAAAACCTATCGGTTATTACTCTTAGCAAATCAGCCGTAGAACGAGAAGATCAAAATCCATATTGATGATTAGTGAGTAGGTTATGAGATTGGAGATGAGAGATTAAAAGTTTTTTAATTAAAGATTCAAAAACCTTGCTTATGATAGGAAGAAGACTAATGGGACGGTAGTTAGGCAAATCAGATCGCTCTTTTTAAAAAAAATTTTAAAAATAGGGATAACGATGCTGCTTTCCAGCAGGCTGGAAAACAAGATTCTGATAAGCACTTGTTAAATAGTTTTGAAAGGATAGATGACAGCTCCGGAGAACACTTCTGCAAGACTATAACAGGTATGTTGTCCGGGCCGCAAGCTGTAGAAGAGTCTCAGCAGGAAATCACTTTAGATACAGAAGCTGGAGTGATACAGATGTCGAGCAGTAAATCAACCTGTTTGACGGCTATATCAGGTAGAGCGCAACTAGTGAAATCCAGAGATGATATTGATGAAAATTTCTTGGCAAACAATTCAGCTTTGTCTTTAGGTGAGGTGACAGAGTCTGAACCGCACAAAAGAGGTGGAATTACAGACTTGCCTTTATTATTGATACTATTAAAGATTCTCCACAAGTCACGAGAGCCTAATTTTTGTGATGAAATAGAGATTTCATGATTTGAGAATAGTGGGCTTTGGCGTTAGACAAAACCTTTTTACAATGGTTCCTAACAGTAATAAACGGATGTCTGTTTTCTGGAGAATTGTTTTGCTGATAGATATGGAGGTAATGGTTTCGATTAGCAATTGCAGCAGCACAATGTGAGGAAAACCATGGAGAAGAGTGAGGCTTGACCTGGAATCGTCAAGAGGGAATAAAGGATTCCATGCCAGCCTGAATCCATGAAGTTGTGTAAGAAGCACATTTGTCAACAGGAAGACGAAAGATTTCTACCCAGGGGCCATCACGAATAAAATCACGGAAAGAGTCCCAGTCAGCTTTAAGGTAGTTGTAAGATGTACAATGATAGGGGGATTCTGATCGTAAAGAAGAATGAGATAATAGTTTTAGAGAGACCAAACCAAGATCAGAAGCATCTAAGGGTGAGTGTGGAGAAACTAAGCACTGACTAGGATTAGAAACAAGACATAAGTCGAGTAGAGAAGGTAAATGATTTGGGTTGTCTAGAAAGCGAGTTGGAAAGTTGACTATTTGAGTTGCTCAAATATTCAACTATATAAATATATTCAATATAAATTGTTAGGGTTTATTAGTGGAATTGAGTTTACCCCTTAAGTCTTTGCCTAGGAGGCCTTCTACAAGACAGCAGCCGGATGCATTTAACATCTGCCCAAGATGAGTATTTTTATCGAGATACCATCTCTAGCCTTTACTTAACCAAGAGCCCCAAGGCAGGGGGTGTTTTATGTTGGAGTTTGCATCTCCATATCATACAAGGCAGCAGGACATGAAGCAGATTGTACTGGGTTACATGTTACCAGTAGCAGGACTGACCTGAATGTTTATATTTATTAATATTAACATCAATATTAATAAATATAAACATATACACTGTACATATATACATAGTATGTAACATACATACATACATACATACATACATACATACATACATACATACATACATACATACATACACATACATACATACATACATACAAACCAGGGTTAGAAAAAACCCAGGGTTTTTAAAAAAAACCCAACCCAAATGGGTTTTTTTGGGTTTTATTGGGTTTTTTTGGGTTTTATGGGTTTTTCGGGTTTTTTTAAAAACCGAGCAAAATACCAAATTTTTATAATTGTATGAGTACAATAATTTTTTTTTTAATTTCATAAATTCACCTTCCTATTGCTCCAATCAAGCCACTTCAGTCAAGGGAGCAACTCATTTTTTAAAAATATTTTGTCTCAAACCTTAACATTACCATTTTTACTAACAAACAACATTAACAACTAAAATTTTTAAACAAAGGCGCTGTGCAGAGAAATAGATTGAGCACAGTAATTTCAGCAGAGGTAATTTGAACCCCAACCTTCTGGTTGCGAGCCAAATGTTTTACTACTAGTCTACTAGCACATTTTACCTATAGTGCAAAAACTGGGACTCCATCAACTATAAATGATGTTAGTTAATTGCACTAAATTAAAAATACGTTCAGAATATTTTTGACTAAAAAAAAATCAGTATAAAAATTATTATGACAATTGAGTTACTCAAAGTTGGTAAGACAATATAAATGTTGCAAACTAGTTTTTTTTACTAACATGTTCAACATATCATTTCAAAAACTATTTTGCACAAGTTTACAACATGTAATCAACAAGTTTGCAACATGATGTTGCAACCTTATAAGTTATTATGAATCAAGTTGACTATGAACACTTTTTAAACATTTTTGTATCATAGAAGAAAATTGCTAGCCTAATCACTACATTTTTTTTTATCAGAACATTATGCTGTCCAGCATCCTGAAAAAGTTATCCACCTGATCAACTGGACTGGCAAAAAATGGATTTTTGCCTAAACTTTAGTTCTTAAAATATCTAAAATAAATTTGTTAAGAACCATTACAGTGTCTTTGCCACCAAGTTTTTTTTTTTCCTTGAAGATGTTTTACCGGCTCAGTTTTGCAATGCAAATTGCAAACTGAATCAAAGTAACACATTATACAGCTCTATTGTGTGTGTTTCTTCACCTTTTAGCAACTTGATGCTGATGTTAATTTTCAACCCACTATTCATATTTACCCTTGTTGGTGGTACATGTTGTAAACTTATAGCTGATACAAAATATTCAAAACCTATCAAAAGACAGATGAGCACGAGTGTCATTTTTACCAACAAATCTTGTCTTTGTGAAATGCATACAAGTTTTCAACATGTTCTCTCATTGAATGAGCAAACATGTTGCAAACTTGCTTTGACATAACTTAATTTTTTTTAAGTTTTAAAGTTGTATGTACTTAAGGACAAATCTAGTAAACTGTAGTATTTTTTTTTTGCCTGACAACTTTCTCTTTCTAAACTGTAAATAAAGTTTAATAATTTTTATATATAGTATTTTGCTTGTGGCTTTCTACTGAAATTTGCAGTTTACAACATAAGCTTTAAAAAATAAAAGAGCAAATACCAATATAAAGGAATATAGACATT